GCAAAACGGTGAAAGTAAGCAAACATCGTTTGTCAACAACCGAGCCACAAAGGGAAATGTTACATCTTCTAGTTGATAAGATATTTCGGGTCAAATTCTAAAGAAAAGAAAAAAAGAAATTGCACAACATACCTCCCTTAGTACCAACCACTCCAGCGATGCCCAGCGCCATGTTCACGATAGCCAGGACCTGGACAAATAAAATACAGGCATAATGTCTTTCTCAACTGCCGAAAGTGTTTGGCTGAGGATGTAGAAGCTGCCCGGCCGAACTGTAAGAGCCGGTCGGCACCCTACCGCAAGCCGCACGGGTCAAGACGGGAGACTGACCGGGCATCGGACGGGTCCCTGGCAGAAACCGGCCGCCAAGGGGACCAAAAGTTTATGAATATTAATTAGAAGCCGCCGGCCGGAGCACAACCAGGCCCCGACAAGGAGCCGTAAAGGAACATTTAATTGTGACCCTGAGAGTCGGCGCACGCTTGGCGTCATGACGCCGGCCGGCGTCTAGGCCGAGGACATGACGAACGGGCGCCGTTTCAAATGTGACTTAAGCTTAAGAAATGGGGGAGTATGGGGGCCCCGGCATACAAATAGGATGGTACCCAGGCTATGTGTGATGTGGGGAAGCAAAAGAACTGCACACCTACATGTGTGATTTGTATGCCAACATTTTTGTACGTGAGAATGACTTTTAATTTGCGATTATTACTTACCAGGTACACGATGGAGACGGCGATTGTGCCGGACTTGAGGTCACAGCATCCGCAACAGTTGTTTACACGCACCATGGTGACAATCAGATCAAACGCGGCGCGAAAGGGTTAGATAAATCTGAAAATAGAAATTACAAAGTATGAGAATTCGTTTGTGTTAACATATATACTAGCAATCCTTATGCAATACAGGTGCTAAAAAGTTAATGTTAAATTATGTCTTCTGCAACAGGCAAAATTCTGATGCAACGTTGGCCAAGTCTTCTGCAACAGGCAAAAATTCTGATGCGACGTTGGCCAAGTCTTCTGCAACAGGCAAAATTCCGATGCAACGTTGGCCAAAAAATCTAACGAAATCCGTGAACATTGGGGTTTTGCGCAGGCGCAGTACGTTCTGCCGACGTACTCAGCGAAACTAAGGCGTGGGGATCAGACAGGAAGTGACGTCAACAAGTAAGTTTCTTGGAAGCCATCCTTATTTGAGTTTCGGTGGCAGGACTTTGGGCGTGTAATATCCTGTACCAGGCTGCGGGAGGCGGCTGGAATTAATAGAAATAGGCGATCGAATCACTGTCTTATATAATCTCAAGCTATAACGGAACAGATTAACGTGCCTCAGTATATTCACAGAAGATACATAAGGTTTCAGTAAAGGTTTCGGGCGACTATCGTGAGGGTGAAATCGTGAGGTGTGACGGGATCAAAGTGGGGCTGGCTACTCTCCAAGCAGAGGTTGTGGGGGAATGATCGTTACCTTTTTATATATGGCCGGGTTTTTTTCGTCCTGATCCCCACCCCGTCGGTGGCTGCGGATCTCCGGAGCTTCTCTGGCTAATGGATACTGCCTGGCCAATTTGATACTGTCTTTTTTGCCACCGATAGGGATCTGCTTGGAGATTAGGGGCTGGCTAGTTTCACAATCACCGTTGCTACATCCTACATGCTTCCGGTGGTTCCAAGTAAATTGTAAACGCACACAGAAAAGGGGGAAATCTAAAGAAAATTCCTATATGCAGAGGCTGCCAGAAAAGGGGCGAAACCAATCTAAGTTGTAAAAAAAATCAGGAAGTACAAACATAAAAGCTAAAAAGGCGCGTCATTTCGTTGTGTGAGAAGGCTCCTCTAGATCAAGTCTTGTGCTAGCTACTCCCCGTCCAAGGTCACGGGCCAAAATGCACAGTCCCCGCTCTAGTTTAGAGAGCGGCGAAATCTTCTCTCGGTGCAGACCAACTCCCCTGCTTTGTTTATTTGGCCGATTTTTACTCTTTTTTCAGCCGCCTCCCGAAGCCTGGGGTTGAGGCTACCGACTACAACACCAAACAAGAAGCCATAGGTGACAATCCTCCGTGAAGTTTTATATATTTCAACAAAATCCCAAGCGTCAACGCCAGACCTACTGTGCAGACATTATAATTAGGCAACGGTTAATACAATGAGGGCGCGTCACAAGCATGAAACATACAAAGAGCTAAATCCATTACTGCTCCCAGGGCGTGTAAAGATACTGTGCTTCAAGTTCGAAGTTCATTTTAATTACACACACACAATCATTGCATTCACATATCACCACCGTCCGGAGGTCCTGACCTCCTTCACGGAGTAAAAATTTGGTTCCCATGCCATGCATGATCAGCTCCGCCATATTTCAAGTCAAGCGTACTGTGTAGCATTTTTTGTTCACTATCATTATCAAGATGATCACTTTTATACTTCCAGTTAACGTTGTTCTAAATGCCCTAAATGACGGTTGTATAAGTTGCAACAATGTTGGCGTGATTTTTATTGGGCAATTATCAAGGTTATTTTTTCACCACATTCACGACACTCCACCACAACGGTGAAAACACCAGAAAACGTGGCCTTGGGCAAAATTGGTCTGCGTAGCCTTGGGCAAAATTGGTCTGAGTAGTAGCTGCTGACTGAATTTTGTAATCCATGTCGACTCACAGCATATAGGGTCGAAATGTCCAACGATCAGACGTAGAGAATACAAAAACACAAATTTTAAAGTTAGACCGTACCTGTGGTGTGAAACCTCGACAGCCGATTGTGCTCAGTGCCCCTTCTCGGTTTCCTGCGTCACCCCAAATGAAAGATCTGCAGAAAGAAACCCTGCAGAGCCAGATACCTCACAGGTCTGTACGTCACGGACGCTTAGCCAATAGTACAACAGGTTGCGCAACCAGACTCAATAGTGGCTTGACCTCCTGGGGTCATTTAGACGGTTCAGAAACGAACAGGAAACAAACGTGTTATATCCATTATGACATCGTGGCCGTAGATGCCAGACGTTGTACCTTGTACAATCGTCGTGTAATGAATTTATTTTGTATCTGAGTTTTTGGCTTTGGAATGTCATAATTGTGTTGTGATAAAATTAAACTTGAGGTGTCAAAATCATCTGGCGATGAGCGGATAGTATGCACTCTTTTGGGGCCCCTTTTGGGTGGTCCAGATATTCTTTTCGCACATCCCCCAATCAAGGACGTTCAATCATACATCCTTGCCCAGGCAAGCTGAACCCTCTATGGCCGGCCAACTCCTCTGGCAAATGATGCCCTCCTTAGCCGATTTCTACTATATTCAGCCTGCAAATGAGTCTAGTGGAGACTACCGATAGATGATGGTAACGATATAGGGCCATATAGGGCTGTGGCGCATGTATCTTCATGACTTTCATTTACTTACTACCATTATATGACTTGATAATTAGATACAAGTCAAGTTAGATAATTTAGGACTCGACACTGGTACGTAGAAAGCTACTAGTGAAATAATTAGGAGACATGAGTCAAAATTACTCGTAGCTTTATTGGACTCAAGTCCTCCTTTATATAGTCGCAAAATAATAGTATTAATACCCTCTCTTCTTAATTAAGTACATGTCTTATTAATTAGAGATACAGCTTGGGTACAGTTAAGAGACAAACAATAGCAAAACATTATGAATATTACACCATTGCGCTTTTTAAAGAAATGATACAGACACTTTCACACACGTACATAGCACACCGTTAAATATCTAACATACAAGATACATCCATAGACATGTCTACAAATGAAGTAACACCCATTGTACACTTTAGCATAGTGGTAAGATATCAACTTACTAGCCTCCTGTGCAGGCCCGGCCGCGGCGGTGGGGAAGAGTTTTTAACGCGTTATTTAATATAGCCGGCCGGCCGGGAGTTTTTGCCACGGAGAGAAGGTTTCGCGCTCCAACCTTCTCTCCGTGGCAAAAACTCCCTCGGCAGCAAATCGTCCCTCGCGGCCGCATATTACTCGCGTCACTCAGAGAAAAAATAACGCCGACGCCCAACAAGACTGCGAAGGAGGCTAGGGAATGGAACCGTGGGCGGAATGGAACCTTCTCTCGGCGGCTATCTCGATGTAGGATATTAAATAACGCGTTAAAAAACTTTTCCCCACCGCCGCGGGGCCTGCACAGGAGGCTATCAACTTACATTGTATGTTGGGGCGTGCCCAATACAAAACTAGTAAAAAATAATGCATAAAAGATTGTCATATTCAGATTGAGTAGATGCATGTCCTGGTCCGAGCATGATAATGATGTTCCTCTTCGTGGAAACTCGCTCCGAGTACCAGTGGTTTTCTGGAACCGTTAAAATTAAAATTAGTCATAACATCTCAGGGTTTAAAAAGTCCTTGATCAAACTGATGCTGGGTAAAATTCACACGGATAATGTTGTTTTGACTCTGAGCAACAATACAAATTATACTGTATGTATATGTTGCAGTAAGTTTTGGTGTCTGTACCTTTTGTGTTTTCTAATTTATAGGTAAATCGGAGTAATGGGATCCTTACCTAGACCGCAGCAGACTCGTTCACTTGTGAGTAAGGTGGCAGGCTGGCGTCTTCGTGCCGTATGCTCTCCACAAACGAGTTCACAACAATCACACCATAGACCTATGGAAGAGAAAAATATTACTAGTACCAGGAACTAGCCTGTTTCAGAAATACTTCAGAAAACAAGCTTGACTGAAACAATGTATTCAAAGTAATAATATGCAAGAGCGTATTATTGCCCTCCAAGGTTCATATATATTTCCAAATGTTCTTGTTTTTGTTGTTGTCATATGCATGTATAGCTCTATAGACATACAAGTATATATAGAGGCGCGTCAGGATGGTATAATATATATTGTTTTCTCCTTGCACCACGTAAAAACATATTACACTTACCAACAGCCCTTCTTCAACCGCCAAATAGAACCAGAAGAACCCAATAACGTGTGCCGCCGCTGGACTGTTCTGGAAGGTTAAAATAAGTAAAGCTTAGTTTTGTCTCATGGCAGAACTTCGCAGAACTGTTTGTATTATAATGGTTTATTGGTCAAACAGTACCCGTGCAGTCGCAGCCTTTATACGGCTAAATGGATGCAGGGTATCACATAATAATCAATAAATAATCACAAACAATCAAATAATACACATGATACCAGTACACATATTTGCTCCACAATTTTTTGAGGAACTGTCGCAAGGGTCTGTGCGGCTGCCATTCGGCGCCACAGGGCGACCTCAATACCCATTCACACTTGGGTGGAGTGAGGAAAGTCGTGTTAAGTGTCTTTCCCAAGGGCACAACGTCGGGGCGCATGTCCAGACATGTCCCGGGTACAACTCGGGATCGAACCCTGGTCTCCCCGTTTCATAGTCGAACACTCTACCACTACGCCACCCGACGCCACTATGTTTGGTTGAGCACAGACACAATCATTATGATAAGGGAAGACTTACCAAACCCAGAAGCGATGAACCAACGATGACAAGGATGAACATAGCGCTGACGAAGAAAATCGTGCCGACTATCCAGATACGGCACAGCAAAGGATTCCCCTAGAAACGGAAACAGTAAAACACTTGGTACCCTTTATTTGGTAACATATAAGTATCCGCTGAACGAGAAAACATCTAAGCAAGGCATGCAAAACTTACGCAGGATATATCTGATTGGACTTAGACAAATGCCAACCATATGTACGTGTCTAGGTTCAGCAATGACTGTATATAGTCTTACATATACTTATACATATATACCTATATAGCTTTAAAATCGTACATGCAGCTCCAGAAAGGTTGCCACAAACTCTAACTATACTTAAGGAGATTACTTTAACTGTAGAATTGTCATTTGAACCAGACCTTACCTTAACAGCACCGACAATGAGGATGATGCATAAGATGATCAAGATGGCGTCGAAGATAACGTCTATTATCCTGAAAGCTGTAATACAATTCTTTTTATTAAATGCGTTTCTAATAGAATCTTTTACATTTCTTCTAGCCTCCCTAGCATACTTTAGCGGTTTTATAGCATAGACTCTTTCTAATCGGTTTCTTGTGCGTTCACAAAACGCCAGACTCTTAGGGCCTGCAAAGGAGGTTACGTTTCTTTATACACATTGATAGATATATCATAAACAAATTTACAGGAAATCATATACAAATGCATGTTGAAACCTATGGGCAGTCCTTACTATATGCTATAGTCAACAGGTAACTATATGTATCTACACCGTTTATTTACTTATACGTACAAGTTGATAGATTTCACACAACAAATATACAAATTATGCTGTCGTTAAAATGAAAATTTGTTAAATTAAACATACACTAGCAGGAACCGACCAAAACATGTGATAACTTACGATTTACTCCCTCTTCCCGCACAAACGCCGCGAAAGCCACCAGAGTCCCGATGACATTAAGAAGATTTAACACCTGGAAAACATTGTGCGCGACTTAGGAACAGACAAAAGAAGCTGTTTATATGTTTAGATTGTTATACTATGACATGGGGTCAAATTCCATTGCAATAAAACACTTTTAGACCGCTCTATCATGACAGTAAAATAACGGAACTTATTCCATACCACATAAGCAAACCTGAATGAATGTTGTATTTTGTGTCCATCGATGTAAAGAGATCCTTAGATTGAGAAAAAATGCGAATGTTTACGAAAGTATACTGATATAGCTGCTTTCGTGTATGTGGAGCTCAAACTGCATTTTCATGTCTCTTATACATGTAACTGGTTTGTTGAAAACTTTCAAGATGGTTTTGAAGTAGCCCTGCAATTTGTCAATCTGGGCTACACACATATGGTACATGTGGATACAGCTTAGCCTGGTTACCAAACCTATTTTAGCTCCCGACGGTCCTATAGATCCTGAGAGGGATAGGTTTGGTAACCAGGCTAGGTACAGCTGGTAGTGATCATGACCGTATTTACCATAAACACAACCGCAATCCCGATGGTGCCACACTTTAGTGACCCGCAGCAGCAACAGTTCTGCACCCGCGGTATGCTGAAGTCGATCGCCATGTTCAGCGTAAAAGTACTGCAGCGTTTCTTCGCCAACGGAACCTGTAAAAAAATCCATACGTTTTGAAGTCATTTCCGTGACTCTTAAGCTTAGAGGTCTTAAAGTAACATCCTGGTGTATATCATGTACCAGATCAACGGATGTAGCCTCGAAAATGTGGAGTACAGACCGTGACCTACGTATACAGGTTGCTTGATTGATTTGTCAAAACGCCAAAGTGCCAACGGCGTGGGTTTGTCCAGTGTTGCCGCGGAGAGAAAGGGTTCATTGCGTAACATACAGCCAATCTTTATCATTAGTACTAATTAGCGTCGTTTGTAGGCAGTGATTCCAAACGATCTGAGGATAGAGATCGAGTCTTAATTACAGCAAGGAGGTATAACCTATAACCTCCTTGTTTATATCCCATGTATAAGATTTTATAGCAAAGTTCAAAGGTTACAATAGGTGAATAGTGCACTGAACAAGCGAACTTTCCCAGCGAGCGTGAATGCTACGTTAAGTGGCCCTCTACTATTTGCTAAGTAACATTTTCTATAGCTTTATATTAGATTAGACTTCACGTATATTTTCCACAGAAGAGTGCAAATAGTGACAGCCGACCAAATGTAATGCCCCTCCCCCTAGCCTCTATTGTCCAGAACGTCCGCACAAACAGCTGTAAAACATACACAAATCCCATTCATGGCAATATAACAATAACTTGTAACTGGGCCACGGTTACAAAACTATTTGGGTATCTATAAAATGAGGAGCAGCAGACTTTGTTGACACATTTGGTCTCGAGTTGCTGCTGTCTGTAACTTCGTGTGGCAAGTCACAAGTGGTTTCTCCTACCTGAAAAAAAATCGTCTCCCTCACGTAAAATACAAACCACTATGGCAAGGTGAACAGCCTTCTGAATGATCTGTGTTGTTCACTAGTTTCAAACGAGCAATAAACTTCATTGTGCTCACCTGTTTGGACGTCTGTGCTGGGACAAGATGGCGGCGTCTTGCTTGACTGCCTTTTCTTTACAACAACAATGCGGGTCTTGGCGTGTGACCAAACATACATGAACCAGTTAGACAAACCCAGCAGCGCAGCACACACTCTTGTCGGATGCCAGACGTTCTAACCCCGGCTACAAGGACAGACAGCTGGGTAGCAAACTATATATTACTGTACAGTTGAAGGGGGGAATCAGTCGTCAATTGACTATGACACCTTATCTGCGTGCAGCGCTTTCAGTAAATATTTACCACTACGGTAATACATGTACACGTACTATCACTGCACGGGGACACACCTGTATACGTAGTAGGTCATAGGTCACATCGACCACAGGTCAGTGACCTGTAGGTTGAAACCTACGGGCATGTAGACAAGACACAAGACAGCTTTTAACCAAGGTTTGTAATATGTTAGTACCAGAAACATTTACCTCTTTTAATGCGTCAGTTTTCATACTGCCAACAAGGGCAGATTAATGAAATAATAATAATAATGTGATAATCAGTACTAAAGATGCCTTTCCGTAAAGATTATTTGACTTCTATTTGTCCTTACTGAGGCAAATCGTGTAAATATCAATTGCTTATTTGCGTTCGCGAACACTGATACATATGTGTACATAACCTCAAATTATGTGTATACGGCTCTACTCTGTTGAACATGTGGTAAAACAAAAACATTTGTACATGGGTCGTCTAGTTACATATTGTTACTTTTTTAATCACTTATAAAAATTGTTGTTTTATTTGTTATTTATTTGTTCTTTTTTAGTTACTATCTATTTCAAAAACATGCGCAATAGAGAGTAATATAGACCATATCGGTTCATGTTTTTGCTATTTATGTTTACACTATATTTTAAGAAATAAAAAAGTACAAATATATTCATATAGCCCCATTTCCGAAGTAAGGCGGAATTGTTCAACACTATGGACTTCTTTCTTTCTTTTTCTTTCTTTCTTTCTTTTTTCTTTTTTTCTTTTTTTCTTTCTTTCTTCCTTTCTTTCTTTCTGTTCTTCTTTTTTCTCTCTAGATAGACCCAGATGGCTCCCGAACTTGTCCGTATGGCGGAAGAGACCCCTCTGTCTCACGCAGCCTCTCAGCGAATGAGTTCACCAAGATAACGCCATAAATCTATAAAAAAACAAATACAAAAGTCTGAGAGTAGCATGAAAGTTCACCTGTGTTGGTACAAATCATTATGAAATAAAGACTGAACTTTAACTTCCAACACTAGATATATAGAATTGGGACTTACCCCAAATTTTCGGTTGACTCCATCATAAAAATCCTTGATTCTGAACCGGACTTCTTTGCAAGAGGAGTTAAGGAGGCAGTCTACATAAGAGCTCACAGACCTACCCTGAACAGAGACGGGGGGCGACACAAGTTATCTGGCACGTATGACCCGCTACTACGGTCACGTGTCTCTGACGTCACGTTCCAAGAGTAGACGGGTCCATTCCGTGAACAGATCTGATTATTTATCCCAACTATTTAGCACCGTAATGTATTTTAATGTAAA